CACAGCGTCAGAAGATTGTTCCTGAAAAGAAACGATCATTACAAGTTAATAATTAAAATGGAAATAAATTACTTCCAGCCACAGATAGATCCCAATAAGTAAAATACAAATTATTCTTTACAGGTTTGGTTTAGGGTGTTAACCTACCATATACCAAGAGCCCTTTCTGCTCAACCAAAAATTCCAGAACTTTTGAAACGGGGCCAAATGGTATAAAAATCTCCTTGGAAAGTTCCCGGAAAATCTGAAAATTGTAAAATTTCCGAAATGCGAACCATTCAACCGAAATATCCAGAAACTGAGGATGAAAATCAAATGGAACAGAAATTCCTGGTAATAAACTTTCGGAAATTTGGGTATAACTCACGGGGTCGCCCCCTTTTTTCGCCACTGGAAGTTTCCGGAAATAAAAAAACAGAAGTTTTGGTTAAATTGAAAGCGTCTTAAGATTTAACCTGCTATACATGAAGGCTAAAGTTGCCGGCGCAAGAGGGGCATGCTACATGAATATGACACAATGCCATATGGCATCGAGAAAATCATATGCTGTTCAAATTGTGAGACATGACGTGGCAGAGACAATTGCCAGCAACACATGACCTTGTGTGAAGAGCACATTGTTACTAATAACTTAACTGCTACGAGTCACTGCGTCTTGTCACTGCACCTTTGTTTGCGCTTTGTAACTTTCCCTGCTTTTGTAGTTTATTTTTGTATTTTTTTTTTAATTTTAAACCGATTTCATTCAACGGGTTGACTTCCTTCTTGGTTATTAACTCGTATGATTGATATGATACACCGATCAATACGTTTCAGATGGTGCGTCATAGAAAAGAAATACCTCTTACTAACCGAGTTCGAGGTCCGTACTGTAAGTTACGGACCGAGTTTTTTTCCCCTTCGATTTATGGCCCCAGTGCGAAGCGCGCAGGTCATAAATCGAAGGGGGAAAAAACGGGGATCCGTAATTTACAGTACGGACCGAGAAAACGAGGTTAGTAAGATATTTATTATATCTCTACTATGTCCCTGACGGGTTCGGGAATGATTTGTATTCACGCGGACTCGGAAATGCTTCAAATTTCTGACGCACCTCGAAAGCAAAACGAGTCAGTTTGAAACTGTTTTTAGGTCGTTAGCACGCTTTATCACATAATTTAGAGTATAACAAAGTTCTACACTTTCACTTGCTATAAAAGTTAAAAAAACACTTAGCGATAGATCACGAAACAGTTTGGCAACAAAACCAACTTTAAATTTTGGCGGGCCGTACAGGAGAGTACGGCCCGATAAATTGACCAGTCACAGCGCGCGTACTAACTGAGAGATATAATAATCAAGTTTATATTTATTAACTTAACAGACAGACCAATGTTTGCGCCTCAAACAACTCTTACGTTTCTTTCGTGCCCCCAAATTCCCCGCGTGCACCACAACTCGATGAAACACATTACAGCATGAATCAATAGGCCACTTGCGAGAAGCCTTATACCTCTGTTTAAGAACGAGTCTTCCTGCGAAACCATTCATACGAAAATGCGTTTGGACTACAGGTTCATTTTCATTCAAATCAAACTCATTTTCATATCCATGATATGAAAGGTTTTGCAAAAAGACTGGTTTTTAAACAGAGGCGACAAAATGTAACTCGGAAATGGCGCATTGCTTAGAAATGTTTGCAGCCTAAAAAGTATCTAGGGATAAAATGAAAGCATAAAAGGGGTCAGAAGGGGATTAGGAAAAAATGGACTTTAAAACTTAGGTTTAATTTTCCAAGTGCGTACAACAAATGAATGTTCTGTACCTTTCATTCCCAGTCCTTTTGAGTAACTTGATGACAGACGGCACCAACTGGGGTAGGAACGGAATGCAGTGTGCCTTTAAACCGCCGACCGCTTCTGCTGCACAAAGTAAGGCACTGGAGGCAACCTACGAGTCAGGAACACAATATTGACTTAACAACTGCATCATGCTGTATGGAAGATGGGTGCCTGAGATATCCAGGGGCCTCCACTGTGAC